GCTCACTCAGGAGTTCATTATCAAAGCCATGAATATCAAAGCCTGAGCCCCAGCCAGGTACTCTATCACAAGGCCAAGGCATAAACTTCATTGATTTGACTTTCAGTGAGAGTTATGGGAATTCAGCACGGTACAGGATGGAGATCCAGGTGCAGAACGGCTCTCAGGAGGAGCCCTCCAGTTGAAGTAAGCCTGTGAGAGTAGAGCTAACTTTCTTTTGAAGAGCTTGTTTCAATTTATTTTGCCCCTTTTCCTGATCCCAACCAGAACGCGAACATGCAGAATTGTGCAGCTGCTGTAGAAATGAAAACTAAAAGCAGGATCACCAACTCTTGTGATTGCTAACCATAAGACTCCTGTGATACTTGATGCTTTTGTTAAAGCTCCAGGTCCTGGAGTCATGGGATGCCTGAGAGCCAAAGCTTCTGTCCCTCATGGTTGTGGAGAAAATGTGAATTCTAATACTCAAGACCCAAAAAGCAAATGAAACAACTCTAAACTGTGTAATTGTGAAGTCCATCTCCTGCTCTTGAAGCCAATCTTATGATTCTTTTAGGACCTGACTCATGATGTTTGAACAACTGGGGCTGACAGTCTTGTAATGAAGACGTAAAAACACTACTGAGTCATTTCAGACTCCAGAGAGTGTCTTTGTGGGTTGAGTTCTGCTTTGGGGAGAAGGCTCAGGTTGATACTAAGCCACTTTTCCCACCCTTGCTGCTCGATGGTGCAGAGGCTGGGACTGAAAGCAGAAACGGGAAGGTGGGAGGTGGGGGATTGACTCTGTGGAGGAAGGCTGCTGTTTGATCTTCAGGGGGTTAAGCCTCCACAGCTTTCTTCTGTTGGCTGCTGTGAGGAATGGAGGCTGGGAACTGCCAGTGGTGGGGGGCTGGAGCTGGGGCCAGGAGGGGAAATTTCACACAAATGACAAGCAGGCCCAGCAGTTAAATCTTGGGCTGACATGTTAATGAATTTCACAGTATGCCTGGAAAAACTCTCACCCAGCCTCAATTTACCAGAGAAAGAGGGGGCTGCAGGGGAGGGGCAGGGTGCTGGGTTTAGCCGAAGGAAATCTTGTTCCCATTATCTTTTTGCGAGAGTTTTAAACAGGAACTAGCAGCACTTTTTCCTTTTTATCTCACACACGTGGATTTGGATATTTTTTTTTCTTTTTGGTTCCTGTGGCTAATAAAAGAAACAAGGGAGTGTGTGTGGGGTGTGGGCGCTAAATGAAATGAGTTCAACAACTCCCTCCCCTGGCGCTGTCTGGCTAGCAGATTGGAGACCTGGCTCTTCCTCTCCGCCACACCACCCTGGCCACAGCTGGCACCATTTGCACTCCCTCAGGCCTGGCACTGAACAACGCCAGGAGGAACTTTGCCTTCCCACCCCCACCCTCCGGCACAAAGCGGGTGGTCCTTTCAAGGGCAAGGCTGGGGCCGCCCTCTGTGAGCAGGCTTGAGGGAGGGAGGGAAGTCAAGGAAGTAACAATTATGGAGACCTGGTTTCTCTCGCACCTGGAGGGCCCAATGCTGCCTCCAATACAATCAGTAACACAGCATTTACTGATTCGGTAGAGCCAGGGCAGGGCCTGAGGGAGCGGCTCTTTGGGTGCTGTGTAGTGGCCAGCTGTGACAAGCTGGTGAGCTGGTGTGAGCTGGGTTTTTCCCTGCCTCTGATGGAGCATGAGACTGTTTCTGACTGAAGGGAAGATAAGCTGTGCTTAAAGGTAGGGCACGGTTCTCATAAGCTAATACTGTCAGCTCATGTCTCTCTGACCGAGTTTGTCTATGAGGTGCCACCCTGCTCTGCCTTCTGCAAGGCTGTGATTAGGAAACATGGTGTAATCAGGTGGTGAGGATACAGTTAGCAGATGTGAGACCTCCCTTCTCTTTCTGGTTTCAACACCAGTTTGCTGTGTGGCCTTCTGCAAGTCACACAGCTCTCTGTGCCTTTCTTTCCACACCTGAATGGGGCTAAGATAGGTACTTCACAGGAGGAATGTTGCGTACCCATGATCCCCGCGAATGGCGAAATCTGTGAATAAGGCACTGCGTTCATGAACACAGTGACCCCGGCAGCTGGGGGGAGGGGAGGCATGGCTCCGGCGGTGGCAGCGGGAACCTGGCAGCAACGAGCACAGAGCTCCCAAGGAGCTCCGGTAAGTGTTTAAAGTGTATTTAAAATGCGGGTTCGGGATTCATGAACATCTGAAACCGTGAATACCGAGGGTTTCCTGTATTCTTATCACTCCGTTGCAAGCCTCTGGCGCCATGATCAGGGTGGGATGAACCCCCTTACCCCTACTGATCCATCTGTGGGACATAGTTCCTGTTACCACCACGCCTCATGCCCCTGCTTGGCTTGGTGCCAGGGAGGCTTCCTTCTTCTATTTTGGGTAGCTCTGTGCTGTGGGTGGCTGCCATCTGTTGGTAACAGCAGTGGAGATGTAGCAGCAGGATGGCAGGTGCTTAGCTGGCTCTACTAGCCTTTCCCCTCAGCCTCCTGCCCTAACATCCTTTTTGCACTTGTCTCTGATTTATGGCAGAACTGCCCTCCCAGCTCCCTCCCCCCACATGCCCTGCTCCTCAGCAGCGATCTCCCCTGCACCCAGCCTGGGGTGGGGGCTGCGGATATTACACATCTGGACAACACATTGAAGCCGGCTGATTGTTCCCCTCCCCCAGCTCCTTGCCCATCCCACCAGGAATGCCTGTATGTCAGCCAGGAATTAAGCCATGAAAGAGCTGATGGGGCAATGAGGGGATGATCAAGGGCTCCATGGGGGGAGCTGCATCAGACACTAGGGCCTTGGTGGTTCCCCCTCCTTGTTGACTGCTTTAGGACACCATCTCCTTTTGTCTGTCAACCCTGCTCTTACCCCCCCAGCCCCCAGCTCCTCCTTCCCCTTTTTCCTCAGAGGCCCTCTAAGTTGAATGTTCCCTCCTATCCCCCTCACAATGAAAGCAGCTATCTAATAGATGGAGCTCCTGCTGGGAGCCTGTCTATGGGCGTACAAGGGCAGACACCTGCTCCTTCCATCCCTTAGATGCAGGCTGGGAGGGGCCAGGCGCTGGCTCCATCAGTGTTTTGGCAAAAGGCCTGTTCGGCTCCAGGTTGCCACTGTTGATTCTTCTCATCAAGACACAGGGTTTCTGGCTGGCTTCAAGCTTCATTAGGCTGGGTTCTCTGCTTCATTGAAGAAAGGCAAAGGAGAGGAGAGGCTGGGGAGAGCTAGCATAGGTTGGGATGAGGGTATGAGGCAAGACCTCCACTGATGTTATTTTATCAGCATGAATTTGAATCTGTTTGTATTGTGGCAGTGCCTACCAGACCAGTGTCTCATTGTCGTAGGCACAGAACAAACACGGAAGAAAAATTTATTCCCTGTCCCACATAAGAATGCATGAAACTCCAAGAAGTGGGTTTAAGGGATTCTAGACTGGAGTAACTTCCTTCTGCCACCTGCAACCTGTAAATTGCATTAATTTAAATTCTTACCAGATTTCCAAGATTTAGATTTTGATCTTGCTCCCTTTGAAGTCAGGAGCAAAGTCTTTCTGGTGAATGATGACAGGTCCTTAGATTCGTACCTATCCACCTAATGGAGGACTAATATTGCCCTCCGGCTTTCAGATCACCACCAGACTTGCCCCTCTAAGTCTGATGAAGCTTAAGCCAGAATAACCCTTTTGCTGACAGGCTGGATGAAAGATCTGCAGCCAGGAAAGTGACTTATGGGACAGTCTGAAAATGTGTAAGTTAGTCTTTGGGTCCTAACCTAAATATCCTGTTTTCTTGGTGTCTAAATTATATAATTTCAGCCTCCCTTACACATCAATAAGTGGGTGTGTGCAGGCCTAGAGAGATTGAGGGTAAATCATCTCTCATTTACAGCACTTTACACATCACCTCCTAATTTGGTCCTTAAATGGTTCTCTTCAACAATGGACCAACTTCAAAGGTTCAGTTCAGCAGCCGGATGCTTCAGTCCCTTGGGTTTCCAAAAGAGAATGAGGTCTCTACCTTTCTCTTGGGATTGCTGGCTACTCCTGCTCCTTGTCTCAGTTGTAACCTGTAAATACAGAGACAACAATAAAAAGGACAAATAAGGAGGCACTGGCAGAGATTAACTGAAATTTCCACATGTTTGGACTCTTTGTTTCAAGTTAGGGATGAAGGACTGAATTGCTTTTAGTTTTTCTGTACCGGCTATTTAAATCCTGCTTACTGATCTGTAAATCATCAGCCTAGCCAGCACTGCTTCCATAGCACTGAGCTCGAACTGTTACAAGATGTCCTACACATAGTAGTTGAAGGTGGACAGCTCAGCAATTTTATTGCAGGTACATTTTGGCAGAGGTGATGCCCACACTGTTGTGTATTTCTTAGTTTATAATTGGTTTTACCTTTTACAAAGCAAGCACCATTCTAGTCCTTTATTCTAAGAGTCCGTTGTACACAGTAGCATTCCAACCTGGCTTCCACGCTGCCCTTCCAATGTGTCTCATGCTGGATCCAGAGAGCCTGCCAAATCCTAGAAATGAGTCCATGTAAGCACCTCAGGTAGGTCTTGAGTGCATGCCTGAGACAGCCTAGGAATAGCAGTGGGCACGCATTACATTACCTATTTTTTTCTGAGCTGTCATGTGCAGAGTGGGAGTGAGTGGTTGGGTGTCTCCCTGATCCATTCAGTTCTGCTTAGACTGACAACATTTATTTCATTGGGGGTCTGGATTGAGATCCCTGGGCACTGAGGAGGCAGCAGACATCAGAGCTTTTAGCCTCATTTGTCTTCACCTGTCCTGGTTCAGGTGGGCACCTTGTTTTGGCCTCTTTGTGTCACTGTGTTGGAGCTGTAGATCATATTCTTCCAGTGGCTCTAAGTCTGGAACTTGACCTGAGTGGCCTGTGAAAGGATCTTACGCTGGGTCTGAGGGGGCAGGAGAATGTTTGTTTCCTTCCTCTGTCACCTCACTCCCTCTCCCCTCCTCCTGCAGCCTGTAACTGTAACCTGCATGCCCGGCGCTGTCGCTTCAACATGGAGCTCTACAAACTCTCCGGGAGGAAGAGCGGAGGTGTCTGCCTTAACTGTCGGCACAACACCGCGGGCCGCCACTGCCATTATTGCAAGGAAGGTTTCTACCGGGACCTGAGCAAATCCATCACTGACCGCAAGGCCTGCAAAGGTAAGGCAAGGAGAGGGCCTTTGGGTGGGACACTGTCCACATAGGATCTGTACACCCCTCTTTGCCACCCATTCTGCCTATTTTCTTTCCCTAAGCCCTTTCCTCTCCATCCATCCCTCCTCTTTCTCCCATCCATCTCTTGGCTGCACTGTGTCCTTCCTTAAATGAGGACTACTTTTTAAAATAAAATCTATTTCTTATTTGATGCAGCTGCTTACTCCCATGTGGACTTCCTTTTTCCTCCTGCCCCTCCCTATATTCCAGTCACCACCAGTTCCCTTCCTCTGGCTGGCTCTCTTCTGAGGCAGATACCTCTGCAGCTTTTCAAATGAATGGATGAAGTGACAGAGCAATCTGAGGGCAAACAAATAAAATGGAAGGTTACTAGGTGTGTCTTCTGCAGAGGAACTGAGCATGTCATCAGTGGGAGCATTTTAGTCTCTGTTATACAGACAACCAGGATGGAATACATCCATCCCTAATCTAAATTTGTATTTCTTATTTCTAATGCATCCATCACCTTAGTCTCTAGGGGTCCATATATATAAGTATATAAAGCCTCGTCTGTGTTGGAAACTTGCTCTACGGTAAGTAAATTGATTTAAAATTGATCTAGTGATACAGAGCCAACCACTAATGTAGATGCACTTAAAAGGATTTAAGTCGCTCTCAGAAGTGATTTAGATTAAAGCAAAAGATTACCACATGGGTTTGCCTGACTGAGAGTGTCCATTTTAGGAGTTTGTTCTGCTGGCACTTATTGTTTTTGGTTACGCTGATCTAAGTTTTCTAGTACAGAGCCACTGGAATGGCCTGATTTTTAAGAGATGTTGAGCACCCATGGCTCCTGTTAATTTTGCTCCTGTTAATTGCAGCCAAAGGTATTGGTTTACCACCACTAGAATCAGCTAAGAACCATTTTGGATTCAGAATTACAGCCTGATTCTGTGAACTACCTGGAAAACACCAGTTCTTTTGGGATGTGGACCTCTCCTTACCTTGGTTTTAGCTCTGAGTTTGGCAGTGCTCTGGAACCAAGCTGAGGTTAAGCCTCTTTCTTCACTCAGATCCCTCCTTAAGCACACTTCCTCCATGAAGCCTCATGAGTGACAATAGTTCCATGAAGGGAAGTTTGCTTCACATAACAAAAGACACAGCTTGCATCACCCTGACCATCAACAGAAACATTATTCATCTGGACTCAGATCCTGGCCCCATTCAAGTCAATGGGTTTTGCAATTGACTCCACTGAAGCCAAGATTTCACCCCTAAACTCTTTGTCTAATTTAGGATGGTGACCTTCTTTTGGAAAGGAGTGTGGCTTCCCCTCTGGCATGTAGCACATTGTAATAATAAAGGAAGTATGTATCCATTGCAAAAGAATGATGGATTATACATCTTAAGCCTGTGGGTGAGCACAGAAAGCTTTACATATTAAGGAGAGACAGCTCAGAAGGTATCTATCTCATCTGCACAAGTTAGCCAGCTTCTGGGATCAGATTGGTCTTCAGCTTTTTAAGTTCATTTCTTGTTTCAATTTAAAAAAATAAAATACTTTTCTACCTACAATTACCATAAGATGGGCAATACATTCAGGGCAGTCTGCTTAATGCTTCGTCCAGCTACCAGCCACATTTCATTAGTTTCCTTGGGAAAGCACTTGGAGCATCTTTACATGTGCTGAAGGGGGAGGGGGAAGAGGCGTTAATTACAGCCACTCTAATGAAAGTTCCCCCCCCAGTGTCTTGTGTATTCAGCGGCCCATGCTTCAAAATAGCAGTGGGAGCACTTTAACTAAAGCTCGTTCAAAGAGCTTTAATTAAAATGCTCCTGCTGCCATTTTGCTGAATACATGAGACATGGAGACTGCTGGAGTGTATTAGTTAGCACACTCCAGCAGACTCGATTAAAGGAGTCTGCTCCAATGTGCTGTAATTACAGTGCGTTGGAGCAGTGTCTCTGCACATCTACAGGCACCCTTAGGTGCTCAAGGTAGCAATGGAAAAAAGCATTCTCTCCCCTAGCTGCCAGTAAGGTTTTCTATACAACTAGAACAGAGACATTTCAAAATGAATCTGGAAGAAAAAATCCCCCTATGATAGCTCACATTTTCCTTCTGTCTCTTTTCTTCTGGGTTCTAGAAGCTGAAATGCCCTAGCATAGAGCTGTCAGCCAGGCTTTTTTTTCAGTATTTCAAGGCTAGTTATCTATATGCCAGAGATGCAGGACACTGTAAAGGAGTTTTGGTTATGCATCCAAGCCAAAGTGGCTGTACTATTCTGAGGTTTGCCTTGTGCTACTTACTAATTCCCAGGATGGTAGTAGAGGTAGTGTCTAGCCTGGGAGACTAGGGGCTTCTCTGATTTTCAGACCTTGATGTCTGTGCCAGATGATAGTGGCTAAGCATCTGCTCTGGGAGTGACCCTCCCATCCTGTACCTGGCTCTGGGGTGCCAGAGTGGATTGTGTGAATCAGTGCCTTGGTTTGCTTTTTCTTAAAAGCATTGCAGGTCAAAAGCAGCACTAGACTGAAAAAGCTCTTTTGATGTAAGATGTAAGATCAGCCTGCAAGCAGTGACTGCTGGGTAGCAACAGAATGAGTTTAAAATATACACATTTGGCCCGTGAAGGGTGCCCTCCTAGCAGATCATAATAATTTCTAGGTATGACATATTTGTAGCTTACTGTAGCTTGTCCATTGAAGATGTGTTTGGGATCTGCATACTGCTAATCCAGGCTGCTAGGCCTCATATAGAAAAATTACTCCCTGCCCCACCTCCCACCCCCTTCCCCCAGGGATTTAGCCGAACGTGGATGTGGAGAGGAGAGAAACTTCACAGTTTTAACAAGCGCCTCATAAAGTGAAAAGCAGCAGCGGCAGAAGGAGCACAGCAGAGGCCAGGTCTGGCACGGGGAGGTGAGACCTGCCTCACAGCCAGGTCATTAGGAAACGGAGAGCTAATCATTTTTAATAACCCGAGCAGCTGAGTTGGCAGGCCGCCGTGCATGTGCGTCTCACCTCGGCAGCCAGCTTTCCCCCAGCCTGGGGATTCTGTGCTCCCTCCAAAGTGCCATTAGCCTTTCAGAGACTTGCCGTGGCAACGGCCTTGGAAACAGCACCCCCCTGCTGCCCCATCTAGCCATGAACACATTGCGCTGAACATCTTGCATCAGAAAAAAGCATGAGTCCCCTCCAGGAAATCACTGCAGGAATGGAGTTGGAACTGGGGGGGGTGCATTGGTATGGCATATGATCTGTAAATGAGCACCACATCTCCAGAAATTAATTCATGGAGCGTTTGCTCACTGATTTTGCCAAGGGGCAGTTTCCTTCTCTACGGAGAAGTGGGAGTGACTCCCAGAATGCTATGGGGGACAGGTGAGTACCTGCATTCCCCACTTCTGGACCGCTATAGCATGTCTCCCTGGCCATCATGTTCAATAGATTTGATGTTACCCAAGCAGTGGTCATCATGCAGTAGCTCTGGAACAAAGAGAGGCCGAGTGTGCTGGAGGCTTGTGACACTTTTGAGGGCACATTTTTGGGGGAGAGGAGTTGGGAGTGGGTCAGCCAAGCTCCTCCTGCCCCCAGTGTTTCCATGGCATCAAGGAATGCCATGCTGAGACCTGACGCACAGCTGGGCCTCAGCACTCAGGCACCTACTTCCCATGTGAGACCCATGAGAGACCCCCTCCCTTAGCTTTGCAGGGCTTGGGCATAGTCCTTCCTGATGTACCATTCAGCCTAGTGCCTTCCTCCCTCTCAGCTGTGTAGGGAGGAAGGGACTGCTTGGATCTCTATGTTAGGGGTTTCACATTGAATTTGAGGATCCTAGTGCCATAGCTTTCATGCACCAGGGCCCTGGGCTGCCACTGAGTGGTGACAGTTGATGGATCCCACTGCACGGCAAGAAACAGTGGTGATGCAAAGGGGGTGCAGGTACACCCCCTGAGAGCACTGGTGCACCCCCTCACAGCAGCATTCCCTACTTAGGTGCCGGATGGTGGGCAGGTGGGAGCACTGGTGCCCCTCCTGAGAGCGCTGGCTAGGGAGTGGGGGCGCCAGGAGAAGCGTCGCTGGCACTTCCGCGTTGGTGTGCACAACGAGTGGGGGGACCCTCCCCAGTCACTGACTGACCGCTGTGGGGGCAAGTGCACCCCCCCCCCCC